TCACTTGGTAGCCCAGGCTGGCCTCGAACTCACAGCGATCCGCCTGGCTCTGCCTCCCGAGTGCTGGGATTAAAGGCGTGCGCCACCACCGCCCGGCCTGGTTCTTTTTTTTTTAAGAGTTTGCATTTGTGTGTGTACACCACCTGGGTGCCAGTGCGTTCGGAGGCCTGAGGGCTTTGGATCTCTGGGAACTGGAGGTACGGTGTGAGGCACCTGATATGGGTGCTGGGAACTAAAGCCAGGTCCTCTACAGGGACAGTAACTCCTTAACCGCCGGGCTATTTCTCCAGCCTCTGTGTGTTTTGTTTTTTTAGACAGGATCTCACTAAGTAGCTCTGGCTGGCCTGGAACTCTTTGCAGTGCTGTGTGCCACCAGCCGGGCCCACCTTGTTTTTTGATACAGGATTTCTAACCATCGGTCCCCTGCCTTCCCTCCCCGGTGTCAGGGTTCCAAGTGGCATCACAGCTTTGAAAGAACATTGTTTTCTTTTAACTTAGGTTCTGAGAATTGAACTAACTGAGCAAGTCTCCCCATGCCCCAAATCAAAGTCTCAAATAAAGACAGAGGTGTACACAGAGTGGACACTAGGTCAGGGTTCAAGAAGTGACTGTTCCTATGCTCTGAGCCTGGGCCGCTAGCCAAATTCTCAGATGTATCTCCTAACCCTCTGGCTTGGCAGGTAGGCAGGGGACAATTTTAAGTGGTCCGGAGCTCAAACAACCATCTAATTGTGGGCCTACAGATTCCCGGAGGGGGAGTGGGGGCAGGGGGATCCTTCCTCAAGAGGCGGCAGATTTGGATTCCGCTGAGCCACCTCCTCAAGGGCCTGCTGGACCGACACCGACGGAACCGCGGTGCAGCCCGGGTCGGCTCCCCTCCTCCCGGGCCCGGCCACTACGCACCTGCTGAGACCAGGGCACCCGCATCCGGACGGGGTGGGGGCGGGGGCGGGGCAGAACGAAGGTCCCCAGGGCCTGGGGACCGCAGCCTCCTCCCGACCTCCTCACCTCGGGGTGGGGGCAGCTGCCAAGGCCGGAACTGGCCGGTCTCTGGCTGGAGAGGAGCCGCCACCGACTTGAGCCGGACAGCCTCCGCTCCGCCGGCCCCGCCCCGTGCTAATCGAGGTGTGGAGATCCGACGACACCAGGTGGCCCGGAGGAGGTCCAGTGGGAGGGGCCGCGGGGCTGAGAAGGGACGAGTTAGGGAAGGTGGGACTGCCTTTAATCCGCTTGTCCCCACAGGTCGCGCGTGCTCTAGTTTCTGAGGACTCTGTAGGAAGCAGCTGGGCCCCAGGAGGAGGGAAAAGCTGGGCGGCAGGGCCTGGGAGGTAAGGTGGGAGCGGGGAGTTGCTGATCAGCTCAGACAACACTCCTTTCCCAGTCTCAAATTTCTATAGGAACCTGTAGGGGAATCCCCAACTTGATTGGGGATCGCGACAGAGGCCTGTATTCCACACTGTACCCCCTTTAACTTACAGCCCAAGACATTCCTAGAAGGACTACTGTGTGGGAATCATAATCGAATTATCCAGGGGATCTTACTACACAATGCTCACCCACGCATGCATACACACACACACACACACACACACACACACACACACACACACACACACACCACACAGAGGTTCTCAGGGCCTCTACCGGGGAGTGAGAAATAAAGTCAGTTTTTAAACTTATTATTTTATGTGTACGGGTGTTTTGCCTGGGTGTGTGTCTGTGCACCAGGTCCGTGTCCTTGGAGGCCAGAAGAGACTGTGGAACTAGGGTTATAGAGAGTTGTGAGTCGCCACGTGGTTGCTGGGAATTGAACCCAGGTCCTCTGGAAGAGCAGCAGCCAGTGCTCTCAACTGCTGAGTCCTCTCTCCAGCCCTATGATGTGAAATTTTTAGGTGACTTCCTATTTCTTGGAGGGTGGTGTGACCTCGGTCAAAGGCATGCACGCCCCTACCTCCCTTCCCACCGCCCACTGGCCCACCTCCCTTTTCCCAGCACCTCTAGCTGAGCTGTCTCCAAAGCTTGCTCCTATCAACTTTCCTTCCCTGCCAGCCCGCTAGCCTTCCTGTAAGGCAGATCTAAGCCACTCCTGGGCCTCCGTGGGAGGATCTGAACGAAGTCAGCTACAGGCAACTTGTAGCTTGTGAAGACCGAGAGACAGATGGAACAAGTCCTCCAGAGGAAGTCTTGCCAGTGGCTTCCCTCCCTCTCCCTCCCGGCCTCTCACAGATAAACCGTGGTCGAAAGGCACGAGCAGGGATGGGGAGACTTTCAGAAGCACCCCAGTCATCCAGCACCGGGCTGGAGATGGAGCTCAAACGGTAGAGTGCTTGCCTAGCATGCACAGTTCTGGGTTCGGTCCCCGGTGCCACACAAGCTGGACTTGGATGTGGGTGTGTACCTGTAATGAGGTAAGGCAGGAGTTTAAGGTCATCCTCGGCGGTCTGAGGCCTGCCTGGTAGACACAAAATCCAATCTCACAAACAACAGCAACATAATCCACCATCGTTTATTGGCCCCGGGCTGCACGCTGAGCTTTGAGAATAGTCTGTCTCAGAAGGGAGCCAAGGTCCTATTATTTTAAGGTAAATTTTAAGTCTGGAAGACTGGACAGTTTGGATTTAAATACCCCTCTTAGCTCAGTTGTCTTTTGTCTCAGTTTAACCTTGTCTCTTAACTGACCTTGAAGCCCTCATTTGCAGCTCTACCCTGGAGGCCAGAGGTCATTGGCGGAGCTTCGGAGAGGAGGAAAGAACACCGTATCTGTGGTCTGCTGGATCCTAGGGAAGTGGGAGCTTTCCGATCGGTCGGTCTTCTCCCACCAGGCCTTCTGCGGTCAGTGCAGATGCCTGGACTAGCCCACCTCACAAGAAAGTACTTTGATGGACATTGCTGCTTCCACGACCCACGGCCTCACTTCTGGGGGCCCAATCTCTCCTTCCTCTGGGAGTGGTCCACTCTGGAGGTCTCTCTAGCATCCGGTGGCTGTTGCTGGCTGAGGACAAACAGCAGACAGCCCAGCAAAGCCTCTCTCATGTCTTGGGAGCTCAGTCGACGGGCCAGTCGGCGCAGCAGCGGCAGGAGGTGCTGGCGGGCCAGGCGGGCAATGGGCAGCAACAGGCGGGACAGCAGCGATCGGAGCAGCATCGGCAGAAGCGGAGCGGGCATGGCAGAGCCTGGACCTGCGAAGGGAACCCAGGCTCCAGACTCCACCCACCTCACCTGGCAAAGCCCACGGGTGGACCAGAGTCCTCCCTTCTGCTTACACCTCTGGTTCCCTAGCGCCCCCCGCCACCTCCACTGACTCGTGGGTTAGGTTTGCTCCGGTGAAGCCTTTCTCCTACAGACAGCTGGCTCAGGGGGTTCAGTCACTGTTAGCCCAGATGGGAACTGGGCCCAGGAGTGGGGGGAGCTGAGGCTACAGACTGCTGTTCTGGCCTCCGCTGGCACCGCAGCTGCCCAGTACCCACTTCCTTTAATTCCTCTCCCCCTCCGCACACTCTGACCCGAGGCCTGCACTCCATTGCCCTCCCATCTACCACCTCGAACCAGTCAGTGGCGGCTCTCACCAGTCAGAACTGCTGCTCCGAGTCGATTTCAGGACGCCTTTGCCTGCTGTGGCTGTGGATGCGGCATCACTGGAGAGCACAAGGTAGCCCCACCCCCTCAGCCTCCACCCAGCTCAGCTCACTTGGGTGTGGAGGGGTACAGTGCGGCAACAGCTGTGTGCTGGCACCTGGCACATGGAGCCCAGCTGCTCCCTCTTCCAGTCTGAGGAGGAGGAGGAAGGAACACACGCAGGCATGTCCCCTCGGGAGGACAGACCTCAGAGGTGGACCGTGTGACCTGAAGCATGCGGACTCTTCTGGGCTCCAGTCACTTCGTTGTGTTGCCTCTGGAAGTGGAGGAAGAACTGGAGGAATCAGAGAAGAGGACGGCATGTGGTTGATGACTGAGATGCAGTAAAGCTGTGTGCAGACACATTTCCTAACCCCGGTCTATGCTACTCCAGCGGCTAAGCCAGCCAGGGCCTGCAGGGTCTCTGATAGGCCGTCTTTGGGGGCAGAGGATGGGACACACAGCTTCTGTCACAGCTGAGCACAGTTCCATACAGCTGGGTGGCATGCCCACTGAAGGACAGAAGGAGGGACATGCAGTTCAAGACTGTCTCCGGTCATTCCACTGCCTTAGACTAAACAAGATTCTATATATATGTGTGTGTGTGTATATACATACGTACATACATACATATATATCTCCATGCATCCATACATATATATACACACATACATGCATACACACATATATAGTTCCAGTTATATCTGGATATCTGGTTGGGTGTATGGTACAAATTTTATTTGGTTTTGTATTTTTTGTTTTTAAGAATTCCATTCTCTGGGCTGGAGAGATGGCTCAGAGTTAAGAGCACTGGCCGCTCTTCCAGAGGTCCTGAGTTCAATTCCCAGCAACCACATGGTGGCTCACAACAATCCATAATGAGATCTGGTGCCCTCTTCTGACCTGCAAGCAATAGGTAGGCAGAACATTGTATACATAATTAAAAAAAAAACAAAACAAAAAACTTCAACTTTGGGGCTGGAGAAATGGCTCAGCAGAAGAGCACTTGACTGAGCCAGGCGGTGGTGGTGCACACCTTTAATCCCAGTGCTTGGAAGGCAGAGGCAGGTGGATCTCTGTGAGTTCAAGGCCAGCTTGGTCTACAGAGTGAGTTCCAGGACAGCCAGGGCTGTTACACAGAGAAACCCTGTCTCTAAAAAAGACAAAAAACAAAAACAAAACAAACAAAAAAGCACTTGACTGCACCAGAGGTCCTGAGTTCAATTCCCAGCATTCACAGGGTGGCTCACAACCATCTCCAATGGGATCAGATTCCTTCTTCTGGTGTGCATGAAGACAGAGCACTCATACATAAAATACACAAATAAACAATCTTAACAAATAAGAATTTCATTCTTCAGAAAGCACCTGTAACTCAAGGCTGGATTCAGTGGAGAGAGGCTGTCGTGGTTGGTTTAATGTCAACTTGCCACAAGTGAAAATCACCAAAGTAGGGGGCCTCTCCTGAAAAATGTGCTGACTGCCTCACTTGAAGCAGGGAGAACCGCCCTGTGGTGGGCAGCAGCTTCTGGAAGCAGTCCAGATCAAAAGGGCGTGGCAGAGGGAAAATGATCCGACTTCTGCTGGATTGGCGTCTCTCGTGCCCCTAATTAATTTAAAATTCTTTAATTTGGGGGCTGGAGAGGTGGCTCAGGGGTTAAGAACACTGGCTGCTCTTCAGAGGATCCAGGTTCAATTCCCAGCACCCACGTGACAGCTCACAACTGTCTGTAACTCCAGTTCCAGGGGATCGGACACCCTCACACAGATATGCACGCAGGCAAAACACCAGTCAATGATCATGAAAAAAAAAATACAATTTTTAAAAAAAATCTCTAATTTTGATATAGCCATCCCATTGGTTCTGTTCTTCTAGAGAACCCAGAATAATACAGTAGCCATGAAGGTTTTCAAGCTTCAAAGATGTAGGAATATGATCACTTGTCATCTGCCATTATTAGCTGTCCTCATCAGCATCAAAAACCCTGGAGGAGGAAAATGTTAAAGATTAAGAAGAGGCCGGTGGTGGTGGCACACACCTTTAGTCCCAGCACTCCAGAGGCAGAGGCAGGTGATCTTCAGGTTCGAGGCCAGCTTGGTCTACAGAGTGAGTTCCAGGACAGCCAGGGCTGCACAGAGAAACCCTGTCTCGGAAAAATTAGGGGGAAATGGAGGGGTTAAGAAGGGAAACCTGGAAAGCGGCAGGAATGTAGATTGACAGGCACCCAGCTCCTCTCCTGCTTACTGTGATGAGGTTCAGTAGTCACAAGTTTGCCCCGCCCTCCCTACCTCCTCACACCTTTCCCGGCCCTCACCTCCCTCCCATACATCCCACCCCATCAGCTGGCCCTCACCTCCCTCCCATACATCCCACCCCATCAGCCTGCCGCTGCGCTGCGTGGTTACCCAGCAAAAGCAGGTGAGCCTTGAGTTCATGATCAATTTCTCACCTCCACCTGTTGCAGGGAAGCAACAGTCACAGCTACTTCAAAAGTGAGGGCCCTGAGGTCAAGGATCAGAGTACCCTGCTCCGTCACACTGGATGAATAAACAGGCCTGCCCTTTCCTTAGATCTTCCTATCTTCTGTAACTGGAATTTGCATTTTTGGGTTGTTTGGGTTGTTTTCCTAGATCCGTGATTTGGATTGTTTTCCTAGATTCCTGATGCTGTTTCCACTCATTAGTAAATCTACATGGCTTTACTTTCAAAATGGAATTGGGGAGGATGGCGGGGCAGTTCAGCAGTTAAAAGCACATGTAGCTCCTCCAGAGGACTTGAGTTCAGCTCTCGAAAGCAGCATAACTCCAGCTTCAAGAGATCCAACATCTTCTGGCTTCCACTGGCATTGCACTCACAATCACACACACACACACACACACACACACACACACACACACACACACACACACACAGAATTTGTGTAAAAAAATAAAAATAAAAATCTCTACATGGCCCTAGCTGTTCTGGAACTCACTGTGTAGACCAGACTGATTCACAGAGGCCTGCCTCTGTCTCCCAAGTGCTGGGATTAAAAACATGTGCCACCACAGATTCAGCTTTAAAAAAAAAAATTGATGGAGAGTGGTGGTGCACACCTTCAATCCCAGCACTCAGGAGGCAGAGGCAGGCTGATCTCTAAATTCAAGGCCAGTCTGGTCTACAGAGTAGGTTCCAGGACAGCCAGTGAATGCTACCCAGTGCTACAGAGAGAAACCCTGTCTTGAGGGGAAAAATCAAATCAGATCTTTAAAAAAAAAAAGGAACTTGTGAGCAAGGCATGGTGGCTTCTACTTATAATTCCAGCCTTTGGGAGGTAGAGACAGGAGGATGAACAGTTCAAGGCTATCCTCTGCTCTATAGAGTTTGAGGTCAATCTGGACTTTATGAAACCTTATCTCAAAACAAAAACAAACAAACAAAAAAAAACCCTGGAGCTGAGGATGTAGCTCAATGGTAGAGAGTTTGAGGTGGGATAAAAAGACAGAGAAAATTACGGGAACATGAGGATACATTCTCTTAATGTAGAATCCAGTTAAAGCCTCTCGTCTGCAGAAAAGCAGGCATCCCAGCATAATAACACTTCCTGTGAGGGCTGCAAACACAGGGACAATATTTCACCTATATAGACATATTTTCAAACAAAAAATGTTAAAGTAGCAATAAAACAAACAATGCCCTAGTTCATATGGTTAGGGCCTCACTTTTCTCCCAGATAATTTGTGGGGGTCTCACAAACAACACTATTCACATTTGTTCACAGCAAAGCTACCCTAACCTCCTACATCCCGTGTGCTAATGAGATTTTTATGTTGTTTTCCAGACAGGATCTTACATAGTCCAGGTTGATCTTTGTCTTCGTTAGGGTTTCTATTGCTGTGAAGAGACACCATGACCATAGCAACTCTTATAAAGAAAACATTTAATTGGGGTGTTTTACGGTTTCAGAGGTTTAATCCATTATCGTCATGGTGAGAAGCATGGCAGTGTGTAAGCAGATGTGGTGCTGGAGAAGGAGCTGAGAGTTCTACATCTTGATCCACAGGCAACAGGAAGTGAACTGTCACATTGGACGTGGCCTGAGCATATTGAGACCTCAAAGCCTGCCTCCACAGTGACACACTTCCTCCAACAAAGCCACACCCACTCCAACAAGGCCACACCTCTTAATTGTGTCGCTCTCTATAGGCCAAGCATTCAAACATATGAGTCTATGGGGACATTCCTATTCAAACCCTGGTTTATGTGGAGGTTGGGATCAACCCAGGGATTTACTCTACCAGGTGAGCTATATCCCCAATCCTTATCCAGGGTTTTATCTTATCTGATCTTTCCTGCATATTTCAGGAATTGCCCTGTGATTTCATTTAAATTCTTTGTAAGGACTTAAATAGCTTTAAAATCCACCAAAAGTGTGTGTGTGTGTGTGTGTGTGTGTGTGTGTGTGTGTGTGTGACCTCCTTTGGGAAAATCATACCCACACTTAGGTCTCACTTTTTCCCTGTTCTTCAATCTGCTGAAAATGCCCTTGATAAACTTGATAAAATTGATAAACTCCAGCTCTGCTTCACACTGATTTGTCCTGAAACTCTCTCTGTGTCAAAGGCTTTCCCTGAGTGGAAGTCTCTGGACTCTGGGGCCTAGAGGATTCAGGGAACTCCTCAAGTGTCTACAGACAAGGAAGAGCGAGCGTCCTCACCCCGCTATTGCTGATGATTTTATCTAGCCTGTGCCAGCCCCTGATGCTACTGGAACCACCTTCACATGGGCTTCTGTCCGTTCTCTCTAGGATTACCGCAGTACCCATGAGACTGATGTTCCTGTTTATCTTTTGTGACCCAAACAGCCTTTGTAAAATATGAATTGAATCTGCCCTGCTTCTCTTCCAGCTGCCCAGGGTTCCACCTCATCTTTAGGACAAGTTAAAGTCTTAACAATGAAGTCCATGGTTTCAGGATTTCAGGATGTGCAGCTCAGTAACAGGCCTCTCACCTGCAAGATTTGAGACCCCAGGTTTCACTTGCAGCTTTGAACCAGGCAAACCAAAACGTAAATAAAAACAAACACCACAAAAAACCCAAAGCATCTAGCTATCACCCTCAAGAGCCTTGGATAATGTGACCTCCCTTGACTTCCTGATTTAGTTTCTAATTCTTTAAAAAATATACTTTATGAATTTGTAAGTATGTTCATAATTTCTTTTCCTTTAAAAATGTATTATGAAATCCCAGCACTTGGGAGGCAGAAGCAGGCGGATCTCTATGAGTTTGAAGCCAGCCTGGTCTACAGAGCATGATCCAGGACAGGATCAAAAGCTACACAGAGAAAGCCTGTCTCGAAAAAACAATAAGTAAATAAATAAATAAATCTTTAAAAAATGTATTA